CTTTTGATAATACTTTCGTACGTTTCAGTACGGTAGGTAAAGAAACGTTTGACAATGATGCGTAGATAGTTGCATATCGAGGTAGAGTCATTCAGTAACATGAACATGCACCGATGACTTCTACATAAAAATTATGAATTCTGATATTTCAAAATTGATTCACTCTATATATATATATTTCACAAATCAGTAGAATTCTGTTATTATTTAGTTTTGTTTTCAATGCATAATATTTGGTAGATGATTTGTTACGTGTCATTTTAATTTGATCGATTCGTTTTGTTTGCGATTAGTAGTCTATGAGATGGTTTATGTTCGATAAGAACGAATAAAAATTTTTGCATACATACTCGTTTAACAACATATAGAAAGAAAAAGAAACCTATCAATGAATGCATATCGTAAATATTAACTGACTAGATTGCATACAAAGATAATGAATGTATTGATCATAATAAAAACAAAAGCTTAGTGAAATCTTTTGATTTTGCTAAGGTTTTAATAATCCAACAATTATATCTCTATATACGTATTAGAATAATTTTTGTAATATTTACTAATGATTGTTTCCTCATGGGCATTATCGAAAATAAAACATATTGGATTTAATCATGAATATGTTTTGAATGATATTTATTATCGTTTCATAGGTATAAAAAAAAACATGTCTTCATTATATTAATGTCAATTCTGTTTTCAAAATAGAATAAATTTTTATTAGGATTCATACAATGTATAATAATAAATCATAAGTTGATATCATATATTCTTAAACATCCGCATAATCGATTATTTATTTTTAACTATCAAAAATATCATTACAATCTATACTTTTTTCTCTCTTGTTTTCTCTATTATTTAATCCGTCACATTTGATTATGAAGACATAATTTTCATTCAGTTTATTTGTCATTTATAATTATATCATTTAATAAGCACAGAAAAACAAGAAACAAAAAATCGTAGTAGTAAACAACCAAAACAACAGTGTAACCGTATATGTATGTCCAATAAAGAAAAAATACCAATCATGGATTGTTAAATGATAACTTTCTTCGTATTTAAGACAGATCATTAATTGTACCCCGAAAAACGTTTAAAACGAGCAATATAATTCGATGGACGATGTTCAAGTAACCACATACCAGGTGGTGATGTTGGATGACGATAAGCATAAATAAAAGTAATAAGAAAAGCAATTAAAGAAAGAATCAAAACAGTTATTAATAATGTAATAACAATTGTACGAAATGTATATAATCCTACATGTTGTCTAGATGATGTATATGATTGAATTTTATTTAAATGAGTAATAGATGATGATGATGATAGAAATCGATTAGTATAAAATGTATCTTCGATACTATTTGAACATGTGTTTTCAGAAGCAAACTGATGACATTGAGCTCGTATCCATTGATAACGTGAACGATCATAACCATCAGAACATTTTTGAATATCATCGCACCATGAACAATTATATCGTTTACCACGATTTGCCAAACATGATTTACAATCAGTAAAAGTATTGCATGCTAAAGAAAAAAAAATATATATATATTTTTCGTTTTAACTATATGATTGACTGAATCGATTATTTTTTATTTTTATTCTATGTGACATACAGTGAACAAATATTTGGTTTCTGTTAAAATCGCTGTTTTTTCATAGAAATATTTATTATTAGTAATCAGACAAGAATGACTGTTGATAAAATTTTTCTTTTCATGAAAATTCTTTGAACGAACTATTATCCTAAATATTTGTCAAAAAATTTCTATTATGAAAAGCTAACAAACTATATAATTCAACGCAGTTTTTCTCGCTGATTTTGAATCTATTGCTATTTTTATCTAACAGTGCTTCTGAGTCGGGGAAACTGCGAAAATATCTGAAAATCTAGGTTTTTTAGAAACCATATACCAAAGTTCTGAAGCATTTATGTGTCTTTGTGCATACAGAGTAGTCATGTCAAATATGAAAAATTTTCTGTCAGAATTGCACTGGTATCTGAGCTGTGCTAAAGTGTGCACACTGACTTCATTGAACACATCTATTTGTAACAGGTTATTTTGAGATGAAAAATTTTGGGGTTTAGGACAGTTGCTCGCAGGACAGTTGCTTGTCGGACAGTTGCGCGCGGACAGTTGCTCGCTAGGACACTTGCTCGCTAGGACATTTGCTCACTAGGACATTTGCTCGTCTGGATACTTGCTCGAAAAGGACAGTTACTCGCAGGACAATTGCTCGCCGGACACTTGCTCGCGAATCATATAGTTACAAGAAGGAAAAAGAAAAATTTCTGTACTTCAGCCGTACTTCACCATATTTCAACCGACTTCAAGGGTTTTTTAAAGTTATCTCCGAAATGTTTTTAACTTTTTAAGTCTACCATAGATGTATGTCACAGAAGTACTGGTTTGAAATCATTCGATATGAGTTTATTCTAAATAAAAACCTAAATACTTTACGGTACTTCGCCGAACTTTACGATTTGAAGTATGGTAAAGCGCTGTGGGATCAGAAAATTTTGCTTTGTCTCCTCTTGTATAGCTACCTAGTGGTAATGGGTAGCTGAGGAAAGAGTAAAGAGAAAATTACAGTGCATATTCTTACTCTTACCCTGATGTTAGGTCGGCGACCATCAAAGCGAAAGAAAGAATTCTTGAACAAACAACTGAAAGATCTGGTTCAAAATACACATACAATCGTCAAGAATTATTTAGAAAACGTTCGACGTTTTTCTATGTAGAACTTTTTTGGTTCTTTCGTGCTTTTTATTGTTGGTTGTCGTCCTTAAAGATTATCTTTGTGTCTTATTCATATGTATATAGTGAACTAGTTTTGCAAGCAAGTGTCCGACGAGCAATTGTCCTGCGAGCAACTGTCCTTTTCGAGCAAGTGTCCAGACGAGCAAGTGTCCTAGTGAGCAAATGTCCTAGCGAGTAAGTGTCCTAGCGAGCAACTGTCCGCGCGCAACTGTCCGACGAGCAACTGTCCTGCGAGCAACTGTCCGTTTCCCAAAATTTTGTTATCAATTGAGAGTACGAACTCTGCAATTGCAAATGAAATGATTTGTGTATATAGGCTCTCTATTTTGTTTGCAAAAATGACTTTTGTTCTCATGATGTTGAACAGTATTAGTTTTTTTTTGCAACTAAATTTTCTTTACGAATTCAAAAAGCTGAAACAAAATATTAGGATTAATTTAATTGGTCATAAATCAAAATACATTTTATACTCTTCAAGCCATAAAAACGTCAATTTCATTCTTTTTTACTTATTGTCTACTGTAGGACAATCAGTTTTTGATTCTCATAGTATTAGATAAAATACAGTTAAATTGTGATAAAAAGAGAACCTTGAACGAAATCAACAAAAAAAATTGTATTTTAATAATAAAAAAAGAGCAAATATGTCAATTTTGAGACATCATGTAAAACTCTAATACGTCAAATCAAATTCAAACACATAATATACTCCTTAGCCTTATTGATACGTAAATCATACTCTTTTTTGTACTTTTGTTACACATCTGCATTAGGGTGCACCAAATTTACTTCTAATTCCAATTCTAGACTGGAAATTGGTTGGAACTGGTCGAAATTAGCTTGGGTTAACGATAGGAACTTATCGTGGCATAGGCTGCTACTTTACCAGTTACTCAATAACCGAATAACGGTGAAATTCTGAATTTGAATCTTTCGTCAAAAAAGTCTTTTCTTGACTCATATCCCTAATCCAAGCCAATTTCGATTAGTTCCAGGCAAATTTCAGCTAATACCAGACCAATTCCAAGATTGAAATTGGTCGGAATTGGTGCATCTCAATTTGTATGACTTTTTTCGGGTAGTATTTCATTAAATATTATGAAAGCCTTCATAGGAACATTGCGGATGATCACGCATACAAAAAACTTGTCAAAATTTGATTTATAAAAAATTTTTCTGTACATTCAAAAGATCATCATTTAAAAATGAACAGCCTAATTCGAGCTACAATATAAATATGGGTTTAAGAGTGTTATATCAACTCGAAAATAACTGAAAAAAAGCCAGACTAGCATTTTATTATATAAAGAACTAATAATTTAGTTTGCTTGAATATCATTAGAATTCAAATACAGAATTCACTACGAAGGTGAGATTGAAGGCAGAACGGATTACATAAGTCACATCGGTACAGTAATATCTTGCTGCGCTAGGATGTGCCTCAATATTAAACGAAAGAGATTATTTCTGAAGGCTATCTATTCCAGCGTAGGAACTGTTTTGAAGCTAATGTTATATTTAGAGAGTATATTGTCATCTGTTGCTCTTTTTTTTTGACATTTATAAACTTAAATGTCTTTATATTTGAAATATAAGTGTAATTTAGTCAAAGTAAATCTTTAGCTATTTGTATAGGAGTACCATTACACTGACTTATAATTATAATTGCGTCGAATTTTTTCTCCGGCTACGCGTAATTAGTAGCTGATGTTCTATTTTTTTTATAAATTGATTTTTATATTTCAATTCAAACTAGACATCTACTCGATTCAGATTAAACTTTGGGTCGACAGAAGAATCTTGTTCATATAAAAAAAAAAGTTTTTCGAATTTTGTTTTTGTTGAAGACAGTGATTTAATATTGTCAATGATATTTTTAGTATCATTCGAAAAATAATTACAATTATTATTTGATTTTATCTTCTTCGTTTTTACCGAAGTTAAATTCTTATTGTCTTTAATAGTTAATCTTTGTTCATCATGGATATAGACAATCTTCTTTTCGACAGTTCTTGATTACTCATTGACAGTTCAACCAGATTCGGATTAGAAAATTGTACTTGAAGGATTAACGGGCATAATCGGACCAGACTCGAAACTTTAGATCTAACGAACTCTATCTACAGATATCCCTTAAATTATATTTGAATAAAACAGATGTTTTTTATGCAATATACTAAAAGGTAGAGCATGAACAACGGAATACAGTGAGCCATTTAAAAACATTGAATATCATCGATTTACTGAAGTTAGAAAGTCCAATACGAATGGAAACGATCACAATTTATCAGTCTATAATATCTGGTTTTTCGCAATATGTCTGCTGCTATTTTTTGAAATCAAAAGGGATCACACTAAATTCTTCATATATTCTGGAATATTTTTTTAATAGTCTATGAAATGGTAAAAAGACTTTTCCTTTCATTCATGAAAATTTTCGTTTTGAATGAATTAGGACTTCAACTTGAATAGAATTGTATAGATAGTTCTTTCGAATACGGAAACAAAAATTTGATCTATCTATACTCCTGAGGGAGATATTAGAATTTCGAGAAAATTTTTCTTTCGTACTTTTGAATAATGATCATTCAGAAGAATAGTAATTAGGATGCTGATCATAATCATATGACCAAGGTTCATTATTAATTGTAATTTAGTGGTATAAAGGTTGACTTCTTGAGGTGGTATACTTCCCATAGAGCCTCGCATACTTCACTTGAAGCGTGCTCTATTACTACTAAGTTACGACTAGTAATGAACTTTGGTCGTATGGCTATGATCAACATCCCAATTACTATCTTCCTGAAAGATTATTATTCAAATATACGAAAAAAAGTTTTCTCGAAACTCCCATATATCTCTCAGGAGTATAGGGCGGATCAAATTCTTTTTGCTTATTAGAAGGAACTATCTATACAATTCTATTCCAGATGAAAATTTTCATAAATGAAAGATATTAAAAAATGTCCAAAGTCGTTTACATCGATGAAATTTCAAGAAATAGCAGAAAGGATACTGCGAAAAATTGAACGTATAGACTAGTAAATTGTGACTATTTTCGTTCATGTAGGACTATCTAATTCCAGTAAATAGATGATATACAATGTTTTAAATAGCTTATTTTTTTTCAGCTGTTCATGCTCTATCTTTTGGGTGTATTGCTTTTAAAAAAAAAAATTGTTAAATACAAGTATATGTTCAGGAGACATTAATCGGACAATTTCTGACTATTTTCTTAATAGTAGGTAACTCTATAGCTGGAAAATCGGTACAAGCTAATTTTTCTATAGAACATCCAAAAGAACTAAAGATTTAGCTTTGTAGTGGTTTAAAATGAGGGTCTTCTGAATATGTATTAAAAGAAAATCAAATGTTGACCAGTATTTCACTTCCTTGATTCCATTATGAACGCTCTCTTTAAAAAAAAACGAATAATTTGATTAAAAATTAAAACTTACTATTATCCATAGAAAAAATAACTGAAACACCATTTTTTATTTTTTCCTTATCTAAATTAAGTTTATCATAGAGTGTTATAACACGAATAATATGTTCATTTGTTGTATGTTGAGACATATATGCATCAGAAAGACCAATACGATGAGCATGATATAAATTCGATACTTTCACTTGTGGAATTTGTATATAATTAAAATAAATATTTCCTAATTTAAATTAAACGAAGAAAAAAAAAGCAAGTTATTCTGAAAATATTTCATATGAAATCAAAATTCAACCATTATCTTGTAAAATTGTTTGAAATGTAAAAGCACCAGCATCTTGTTGATCATGTAAATAAAGATTGTTCCATGTACAAACAAAATGTGTACTATTATCAAAATATTTTACTTCCGATTGATTACCACCAGTGGATACATCAAGATTTGCCATAAATGGTGCAATACTTTGAATATAAAAAGAAAGTAGAATTTTTTTTTTTTTAATATCAAAAATAAAATTAGAAAAAAACTTACTACTGTGTACTACCAATTAATGCTGAATGTAATAAATCACCTGTATAGATGAAACCTAGAAAAATAATGAGGATTGTACGTTTGTGATTGAATCAAAGAATTAGAAAAACAATTCGAAAAAAGTTTTTTTGTTTTTTTTTATAGCAAAAGTAAATTTGTTAACAATGGAAAGCAGATTAAATAGACAAATAATGTAAATCTATGATCGACACTTACAGGCAATTTATATATCTATATCGATTTCTTGGAAAACAAATTATATATATATATATAGCTATTATAAAAATAATAAAAACTTAAAAATCAAAACATACCTCCAGTTCCAACTAATATTTTATTAATTCCATGTCCATAAAATGGAAAATCAAATTTTAAATTGATACTCTATCATGAAAATCAAATTTTTATAAAGATCAAATAATTTGAATCGAATTTTCTTACAATAGCTGATCGATTTCTATCAAAAAATGCATTTATACGAGTAAATTGATTTTTATCTGGAACAAAATATAATGGAATTCCTTCAGATTTTGGAATAATATATGAAACATTATAATATTGATGATCATTCTTAAACATAATAATAGAAAATATATTATAGAAATAAAAAAATATATACGTACAACATAAACAGTTTGTTCTGTAGTATTTAATAAATTTTTATTTAAATTAATAAAATTTAAATCATTATCTTCATCAAAATAAAGAAGTTTTGTCGATATTGTAGAAACTTTTCGTGCTATTTCATCGAATTTTGTCCAATGTAATTGTTCTTCTAATACATTTGTTGTTGTACTTGTTCGTAAGATTTCAGCATGTGTTTCTACTTAAATAAAATTATCAAAAATAAAATAAAAAGAAAAACTCTCTTTTTTTACTTGAACATAAATAATTTTCAAGAAATGCTTCAACTTGTCTGGAATATATTAAACATTGTTCTTTTATTTCTTCTTTTACTTCAATTATAAAATTTGGTATTGTACTAAAAAATAAATCAAGTTTTTATCATAGTCAAACATTTATGATAACTTTTACTGGCAATAACTATCAATTTCTACACTATTTCCTTCTTGATAATCGATATTATGTATCAATTTATTATCAGTCCAATGTGTAAGTAAATTATGTAAAATAATAAGTCGTTTTTCATAAGGACATGAAGATTTTAAATCATTATCATTACAATTATTGATGCCAAGTAAATGAAGTAAATTAAGTATTAAACTCCCATAAGATTTAATATTTAATGGACAATGAATAGATTCAAGACAAGTTGCTAATGTTCTATAAAAAAAAAAAAATCAAGATAAGATCAAAGAAAAATTTTTCAAACAGTGACAAATCTCAAATAGATATTAATTTTAACAATCTGTGTCAATATTATTATACAACATTTCTGGATTTTTTTTATCTCTGATATTTGCTTTTTTGGTAATGATTTTCAATTATGCATACAAGTAAATCATTAAATTCTATTTTTCTGTTATTTGTCATAGATTATTTTTATCAAAAATCATAAATCAGCAACACAAGATTTAGTAACAATTTGAGATTTGTCACGACAATCTCAAATTTTTATAATTCATCTTACGTGCAATCTGTTGAATGCGAACAACTATATAATTTACTATAAATATGTTGATCACATTGATCATGAATAATAGTTGCATGATTTACTGTTGGATAAAACCAAGAAGATTTCTCACGTTTTACTCGATTATCTGATATTAAAATTGTATAAGGTGTATAGTAAATATTTGTTGGATCATTGATTAATAAAATATTTTCATCATTTTGTGTAGATTTATTAAATAAAACAATCATATAAAGAAATATTTCAATGAAATATTTCATTTTATCTAAATGTACTATAGAGAGAAAAAAAAAAAGAACAAATTCCAGATGTATATGATCACTGTATACTTGTCTAATCTTTTGTGCAAACGAATAAGAAATTGAATGATAAAGACAATTGTATGTGTTTTTATTGTTGGACATTATTTGATAGAAAAAAGAAGGAGAAAGAGAGAACGAAGGAAAAAGAAAACGAAATAGCTATACGAGGTCACCTGTATACTTGTTTAATTGACGAAGAAACGGTAAGCCGAATGTCTCATTGATCATACACGTTCGTTGTTCATTTTCTTCTATTTCTCTTCTTCTGAACGACAAACGATTATTTGATCATTATCATGAGAGAAAGAAAGCTAATCCTTCTGACTGTATACTGCTTCATTGATTTTTTTTTCTTTTTTTTTCGACGTTGTCTTTAGTACAAATACATACAATGAGCTCCTACAGTAACGGTACATCCATAACAACTGACGATCGTTTAAAACAAGCTTATGAAATCTTAACTAAACGAAATCGTAATCGTGCATTAAATCTTAAAGATGTTGAAATAGTTATTCGTGCAGCTGGTTATAGTCCAACAAATAATGAATTAAAAAAAATAATTAATACAAAATTAGGTACAATATATCCTCATCAATTATTTGATTTACAAACTATTCAAGATTTATGTATCGATTTAAAAAAACGTTCTGAAAAAGATATTTATGATAGTTTACGTTGTTTTGATTATGAACATAATGGTTTTATATCAGCAAAAGAATTAAAATATTTTTTAAGTACACATGGAGAAAAATTAAATGAAGAAGAAATTGATGAAATGTTACGAGATATGGATATTGATGAACAAGGAATGTTATCAATTGAACAAGCACTTTCAACACTTTTTGTTGGTGATTATACAGAATAAAAAAACAAAAACAATAAACAAGTATCTTTTCTTATTTCGTCTTATTACAAATAAAATAATTAATTTTGTTTTTAATTTTAAGATAAAAATAAAAAGACATTAGTAAAAATAAAAAAAGGAATATAAATGCTTTTTCTTTTTTTTTTTGTATTAAAAAGCTGCCAATTCTTTTCGTTGTTTCTTTCGTACACCATCATCAATTGTTAATATAGAAAGAAATGAAAAGAAAAGACCAAATGAAGATAATAAATGCCATACATCATGTGCATCATATGTATTAAGTACAATACATCGTTGATTATATGTTCTTGATATAGCTGGTTGAACTTCATAACTCTTAACTTCATTATAAAAGAAAACTGCTGATGAAGCCCAAAAACATACTGACAATGTGAGAAATAATATAGAAAAACGTGTAAAACGTTCTCGATGAATAACTTTCATTATAATATAATATATTAAATAAAGAGCTAAATTACCAAGAAAAACAAATAGAAGATGATTCGGAAATGACTCAGGTTGAACAATAGCACCATATAAGGCAAATGCAACATTAACACAATTAGCTGCAACTAATATTATCATACGATTTAAATAACGTGGTCGAGAAAAAAATCCATTTTCTTTTACAAGTCGATACAAATGAGCCTAAGAATATGAAAAAACAAAACAAACACTCAAATTAGTGAATTATTCAAATAATTAAAATAATATTTTACAAAAATCTTTTTCTTTTCTGAAAATTTACAAGTTATACAACGAAAGAATTGATTACTATTCTCGATTTCAAAATAGAGTGTACTCTATCGTTTTTCGAATAAATTTCGATAGAAACATCATTCGAAAGAGAAATGTAGGAGAAGTGAAATCTTACTGAATTATCTAGACTATGTATTCGACAAGCTAGTGAGCTTCTTCTGTAGATTTTGATCAGAAGTTTTCAAAAAAACAAGTTTCTCAACGAAAAGTCCTGAAGACGTTTCTCTGTCGATCTGTGCAAAGTCAACCCTTCTAACTTATTCCATTCAGAAGTTATAAGCGTTTTATTGAAAGCTTTGAAATCCACTAGCTGACTACTGTTCACTCTAAACTGTGTTCAAGTCAATGTATTCGTCTACGTTGAGTTCAATAGTAGTATTTGTTTTTAATCTCAATATGATGTTGCATTGCTAGATCATGATTTTTGTAATTCAGTCTATACAAAACTTGGACATTAAATGAAATATTTTTAAGATCGTTTCAACACGAAAATCAAATATTATCATTGGACTCAGCGTAGATGAATCCATCAAATTCAGAGTAACTCGTAGTTAGTTGACCGATTTCAAGGCTTCCAGTAAAACGTTAATAACTTCTAAGTAGAATAAACTAGAAGAGTTGACTTTGCGTAGATCGACAGAGAAATGTCTTCACCATTGTCAGTTGAGCCATTTTTTCGAAAACTTTTGATTAAAATCTACAGCAAAAACTCACCAACTTGACTAATACTTTGTCCAGATAATTCAGTAAAGTTTCAAAATTATCGAGATGCGCTATATTTTGGTGTCAAGAAGCCATGATGTTCTTATGAAAAATTCTGAACATTTTTCTTATATTTTGAATAGATATTTTAGATCTCATGAAGAGTACCCTTCTCTTTTTTTTTGTCCATTTTTGATTCTCGAAGAGAGTACAATGGATTGGCATAAAATTTTTACTTTTCACAGTTTTTTCTGAAAAATCCTGGTTTTCCATGGGACTACATCGAGTCTGCTTACGATTTCCGTCTAATTTTGTCCGATCAGACTGAAAATTTTGTTGAAGATACTTGAGAATATATTTCAGAGATGATTTTACGCTTATTCAAAAATCTGATTTTTTTGATGAAAGAAATACGTAAAAATTCGGGTCCAAAAGCGGAATGCGAGCATTCAAAGCTTTATGAATCTACATAGGAAGATCAAAATCAGAAACGATCAACTTCACATCTGGAGAATATTTCCAAGTGTATCTATGCTCAAAATGTCAGCCCGATGGAACTAAGTTAGACGGGGATCGTAAGCAGACTCCATATGGTCCGATGGGAAACTAGGATCTACTCGAAAAAAAAACCTGCGAAAACCTTGTTTATTTTGAGCGCTCTATCAATAGTAAAAACTTCATGCAGATCTATATTGTACCCTCTTTGAGAACCAGAAATAGCTAAAAAAAAGGGAAGTACCCTTATGTTCGATGATTTTTTAAAATAAAATATCTCGATGAAAACTACTATTGTTTTAATTAAAATTTCCACAAGATTAATAGAACTATTTGACTTATTTCCGAAATCTATACACTCTTGAGTTATTATTATTATTATTCAGAATTCTTTTCTGTTTTTCTTGATATCATTGAGATCAAATCTTAATTAAACTATATGAAATTCGAAAAATTCTCCCATCAAACACAGATATAGATTAATGAATTCAATATTCGTCTAAACTTACATGTACACGAAGCGAAATTTTTAATCTTCCCATATAATAAATTTTTGCTGTAAATGTTAAACAAACAACCATATGAACCATAGCATAAAATATCCAAAACCATTGCTTATCATAATACTACAAAGGAACAAACAAAATCTCAACTATTCAAAAAAAAACAAAAAAAAAAAGGAAATAAATATAAGTTTTAAACATACCACTCCAATAACAGTTATAAAAATAATAACAGCTAAAAATGAAAAAACACCAGCTGAATGTGGATTGATATCTGGATGTCTTGTCTGATAAATTTTAATTATATTTAAAACTGCCATTATAAACATAAAACTTGTATCAAATTGAAAATTTTGTCTCGATGGACATACATGATAACTAAAAGAAGATCGTTTACTTTTAAAAATCATTTGAACTTTTATTTACCATGCACTCATAATACCTTCCATAAATAAACCAATAGCCATGGCATAAAAAAGACCAAAATGTTGTGGTATACCATATTCCTAAGTAAATGAAATCAATTCAAAAGAAATTTTATCATCTAAAAAATTTAATTTTACTTTGCCTATTGCTGGATATCTCGTAAGAAATCGAGCATAAGCTTTATCTCTATATTAATATAAATAATAAATATAGAAATAAATATTCTTTTACCTTCGATAAACAATAATAAAAAAAAGTAAACCAAGTGCACAATAACCAATATTAGAAAAAACATTATTAAATGCTGCTAACATAGCAAATTGTCGTGCACATAAAAAATTAAAATAACATATATCTTCATTTCCAATTGAATCAATATTTATTTGATATTGTAAAACAAGTTGAATAACAGGTAAAGAATAAAATATAGCAATTGTTATCATTGTTTGAGGATATATACGAAATTTTTGTTTTAAATATTCATAATCTTTTGTACATAAATCATTAACAGTTACAAAACCAGTCTAAAAGAAGAATAGAGAATAGTTTTTTTTTTCAATTATGTTTCATCCGTTATATTATGCAATAACTGATTTTTGTAAATATAAAAAGAAGAGATCGTTCATTGTTAAATTATCTTCATGTTTTTTTTTTCATGTCGAATATGTTAACGGTGATTTTAATGATCAACTTAGCATCAATACTTCAATTTTAATATTTAATTATCAGTAAATCTTTATTATAATTATTTACAGATGTTTTTTTTACTTTGACTTCCTCTTGTTCAAAAATAATAATTTATAAGAAGATTATTTCGCAAAAAAAAATCTTCTTTCTGTATTAAACATTTATTGTCGTCTAATGAAAGCTTTCAATTAAAACGTCTGGTATTAGAAATGAAATAGTCTAAAATATGGATATGCTAGAATATCGTTCGAGTTCATATTAGAGCTACAAATAGTTTCCGGCGGTAACGCTAAACGAAATTTAAAAGGATTTTGTGTCCATAGTCTATTGGTAAAGAATTATGATCATTTTACTGAAATTTTTATTGGAAGCAAAGTATTTCTGAAAAAGCCAAAAAAAACAAATAAACAAGTTTTGATTTGAAATTTTGCCTTTCAAGAGATTCGATAACTAAAATTTTCAATGAAAATGAACATATCTTTCTCGAGCTATTCAATATTCAACAAAACAGGCGCATATCATAGAATGACGTAATAATACAGTCTACTTCAAAAATTGAATATTACGAAAAGTATATGCTTATTTTCATTGAAATTTGAGTTATCGAATCGATCTGAAGACGAAATTTTAGGTTAAAATTCATTGTGTTGGATTCTTCAGATGTAGTTTGTTCTCAATAAAAATTTCACTATAACACCCATAATTCATCATCAGTAGGTCATCGATACGAATTATTTTAGGTTATTTTTAGTCGTACAGAGAAACTACTCGTAGTCATAATATGAAGTCGAACAGTATTCAAAAATTCGACATGTTCTCTCATGAGCTTAATTTTGAATGAAAATGTTTTCATCTTCTCAACTTTGAATTTACACTTTCAATCATTTGTTGAACAAAATAAAATTATCTAAATAGTTTAATATGATTCCAGATCTTTGTTTATTTGATATTTGAAGTTAGAATTGTAGATAGCATCAATTTTCACAAACAACTAAATCAATAGAAACAAATGTCTTAGATTTAAACTTACACCTGATGTTCCAATAACTTCAACAGCAGATTCTTCACGATCATAATCATTCATCCTTGATGCTATTACATTTTCTTCACCTTCAGATGTTTCAAGAGATTGTCGATTATTTTGATGTTCTATTTCAAATCAACTATAAAAATTTTATTTCTCATCAATCTATACATACCCGCAAGTTCTCGTTCTGTTCGTGCTTCTAACAATGCTATAATCAAAAAATTTCAATAAACAAAAAAAAATAAAAAAATAAAAACAAAAGTTCAATCATTCATACATACACAATTGATCTGGAGCCAAACGATCACTAAAACAAAAATTAATCTTCAATTATTTCAAATCTTTTTCATGCAAAAGGAAAAACTCACTAAGTATCTGGCTGTCTACACATAATAAGAAAAGCAAAAACATAGATTAAAGAATATATTCCAACTGTCAGAAATATTGTTACATAAAGATATTTAGCTATCCGATAAAAATAAAACTAAATTTTATGAAATTTATAAAATATATACATACAATAACTTGGTGAACTTAATATAACTGTTATATTTTTTCTTCGTTCAACATCAACAACACCCGCTACACAAATAAATCAATTCAATCAGAATACATCTAAAACAAAAAACAATACTAACCTGGTTGAATTATTGCTGTTTCTTTATAATCTAAGCAATCGGCATCCGTTGGTTTAACAAGAAAAACAAGAAGAAATTCATTTCGTTTCGTAAATTCGCTAGACTATTAAAGAAAAAAAAACAATTGAAAAAAAAACAATTCTAAAATCTCTTATTATATATTACATAAACATTAAATGAAGCACTTTTTGACATTGTTTGATAATGTCCTTGTCTAAAACCAATTTCGCCAACATCATAAACTGGACAATCAAATGATTGAACAGACACAACAGCACATAAATCATCTTGAGATTGAACTTCAATAAAAATATTATTAATATGAGATGGAAATACAAATTTATAATAAACAGGTGTAGCTGGCGAAATAGTAAAGCTTTGTTTAACATCTGTTCTGTATTTTCAAAAGAAAATTACAAAAGTAAGAAAAAAAACAAATAATTCATTTGTTTTACTCAAGTGAATATTCAGTTGTATTATCAAGTTGAACAGAGTAATCAATTAAATCTACATTTGATGTTGAAATTTCAATAAAAACAGTACTTGTATGTGGTCGAGTACGATTTACTTCATTGTGTACACAAAGTGTACGTGTAACACTTGAATAAATCATCCTAATAACAAAACAAGAAAACTGAAGAATTTCATATTCGAATGAACCATTTTTACCCATTAGAAAATACATATGGAAGTGTCCATGAAACAACACCACGAATTTGTCGAACAACAACTAAAATTGGAGCATTTTGTGTAACATTATATTTCATATTTGTTGTTAGACGAACAGCCTAATATATAAATATTAAAAAAAAGTGTAACATTGATCTACTTTTGTAGTAGTATGAAAAGATATGTCAATTGCCATATCTTTACCGTTATAGGATTAAAAGAATATTGAACAGAATAATAATGAATAGAAGTTGAATTAATAGTACCACTACATAATTCTCCGATTGTACAATTTTTAATAATAATATCAGGATTAATGATTGAGTCAAATGAATCGACACTTAATTGGTTACATTTTACAAAAAACTACGATCGAAATAATTATTTATTTTATATTAGAAATAATAGTTTAAAATAGCTTACAAACAGATTAAAAATAATAAAGAAATATAAACGAACTGATAGCAGGAACATCATTGTCTTTAAAAAAAGTCACGATGTAATAAGAAATTCTGCTGTTTTTATATTCATAGTAAAGAAAGTAGATTACACGTAATTTCTTCACTCATTTTGACAATGTCTCATAGATAATTGTCTTGTCTTATCTGTATGAGTCTATAATAGCTGAGCAATCATTAGTAAATGAGCGACATCTAATCTGTTCTAATATTCGAAACATGTTGAACATTGAAGTTTAAATTCATCTAACACATTTAACAATCTTTATTTATAAATTTCAGTCATTTTTTTTATAAAATTTGATTTTGATATCATTGGAATCGTATCTATGGGAACGATGAACACAATGGTAAAAGAAAATATGGCGCTTAGTCTACCTTCTTTTAAGATTAATTATTAACAATGCAGAATCATTATTATACAACAACTGGAACCCCTCAAAGACCACCATTAGGTTCCGATATGAATTATCTTTATTTAAGTCCATCGCAACAACAAGTAAATCGTCAAGGAATATTTCTTAAACGAAGTGAAAAAATTGATTGGCGTCGAATTGGTATGACAATTAAAATTAAAAAAATCAAAAAAAAAAAAGATCAAAATTCATTCCTTTAATATAGCTGCAGTTGATGTTGATCGTATTGCACGTGATATGGATTTTCAAGCATTACAAGATAACCTTGAAAATATAACATTATGTAATATTGATGCTGAAGTTGTAAGTTTTTATTAAATAATTCAAATAAAAATTTTTATTTTTTCAAAAACAAAACTAAGGATTCACGAGCTATGGATCCAAATTTTGTTAAACTTTATAAAATGGCTCAATTAACAATTGAATATCTTTTGGTTCGTCTTTGAATTATTTCAATTCTATACGTGAGACTATTTTTTTTCTATTCTTTTAGGTTTGCCAAGATGAAATCACAACTCAATTAACTGATTATGAACAATTAAAAAGTAAAGGTTTTCATGTATGTATTTTAATTTCCATTTTTTTCCTTGGTGAGAAATTTTATTATAAAATAAAATAGGATCATGAAGATGCTCGTCAACAAATTGAAAAATTAAAAAATGAATTAAATGAAACAAAAAAAGAATTGAAAAAACGACGAAAAATGCTCGAAACACAACAAAGAATGTTAATGGCACAAAATTCAAATTATCATACCGTAAGAAAAATAAAATAATTAAATAAATCATTCCATTTTTGATAAATATTAAATCAATTTTTTTTAAAATTTTTTCTAGTGTCCAGTTTGTACACATGCATTTTTAAGTATTGCTTATTTACAAGCACATATAAAACGTCGTCATCCAGATTATGATCCAAGTAAACGACGTGAACATGATATTGATGTTGAAAAAGAAATTCAATGTCTTAAAGATGAATTAAATAAAAAAGACACTGAATTACAAATGATTAAAGTTCAAAAAGTATGTTCGAAATTAAAATGAAGACTGTAATTTGAAAAATACTTTCACTTCTCGTATCAATTATATTCAAAAACAGACTATTGTATATCAATAACATAGTCTAGATAGACGTTCTATTGGTTATTACAATCGATACTATCATATATAGTATTTATGTGATGAGATCAAATCCATATTGAGATTTTCGGATAGAATTCACTGCTTCAGGACGATTATTTCTATCTTTAAAAATGCCATTAAATGGATCCCCCTTTCGGGATAGATCTCGACGAGTAAAGCAAAAGTTGCGTCGGAATCCTCAAATACTTTCTTCTAGGAAATATCTGGCTCACAAAGGCAATATGTCCGATTGAACAGGAGGTTTCTTTTTACAGATACTAGACACTGTTTGGAATGCCTGCTGTTTTTGGTTTCTTTTTATGCCCTTTTATTCGAATAAAAAGATCAAAATACGGAGCATGTAGGCACTCCAAACAGGGTCCAATACATGTACAAGGAGTTTTATCTCGATCGAACGTATTATATGAGAGAAAAGCGGTGATTTTGCACTTTTTTTGTGTAAAAATTGATTACGAGAAAAACGAAAAACAAATTTTCTTGTATGCATCAGAACTTTTTTTTTCTCCAACTAAAGTGATCGAAAATTGGCCGTGTTCAGCGGTGCGAGAGACTCATGATCTATGCTTCCAGCATCTTTAGAAATTATCATTAGAAGAATTGTGCTTAATAAAAGTACTTATTAACAACGAAGAGCCCTTATTTATATGATATTTGACAGAGCGCATTTTGAAGTTATATTAGCGATGAAAAGTCAAAAATTGAAAAAAATTTGGATTTTAATATCCGGAACGGTAGGAGTGTCCGTTTAAGTTTCGTGTTATTTCACTGTAACCGATCAGACTGTTTTACGGACATTTTTCTTCACCAGTAAATAGCCATTTATTCCCTTAGTATTTTTACTATTTTATATCATTTACGATGTAGTTTTCTTGAACCTAGGATGTTATTTAGAAACTTCTATTTATTGTTTCAGGCAGTTGATGAAGAAAAAATTCGTGATCGCGATACAAATATTCGTCAACTTAAAGTAAAATTTTGCTGTTTTTTTCTATTATAATAACTGCGTAATACTATTTTATATAGGAAGAAATTCAAACATTAACAACAAAAATGACAATATTAGATGACAGACTCTCGCAAATGAGAACAGTAATAATAAAACTTTTTCGTTTTAAGAGTTTTATGTTTTATTAAACTTTTAGAATCCTTATACACAATCATCTTCACCTCATCGAAACGAAACTGGTTTTTCAGAATTACTAAAAGAAAATAATAATTTACGTGCTGATATTGAACAATTTGTAAGTTATATAAATTATATTTTTTGAATTTTGTTGTTTTTTTTTGTTTTGTTCATTTTAATCTAAATAGAAACAATCACTTCAACAAGCAGAAAATAATTTAAAACAAGAAGTAAAATTTAAACGACGTTATGAACGTGAAAATGAAAATGTAATCATTCTTATTATTATATATATTAATATTGATTTTTGTCGTTTTTAAAGCTTATTAAAGAAATAACAAATCTAAAAGAAAATCTTCAATTACTTCAAAAAGCACCAGGTGATACAGGTCGTTTAACAAAAGAATTAATTAATTTTCAAAATGTAAGTTAAATATTAAAAAGAAAAATTATAATCCTTATTAATATCGGCTACAATTTATTTGCTAAGTAAAAATATTTAAATGCTAAGTTGATTTTTGCTAAGTAAAATTCGTATCTGCTCAGTAAATAAATTGACTGCTAAGTAAAAATATTGAACGCTCAATTGATTTATACTTTCTCAGTAATAAAAATATTTGCTAAGTTTGATAATTGATATCCAAGTAAATTTTTTTTTGTTAAGGCCTTCCCCCCTCAAAAAATGTCCGTTTTCATCAAAAATTTCGAAAGTGAGATAATTGCATGAAAAGATAATCCGTCTTCAGATCTTTCGGAAACAACATGATTTTTAAGCCGACACTCCCGTTTCAGACAAGATTTTTGATGATTTCCATTAACGTCTTCTTGAAAAATATGCTTATTTCGAAAAAAACGAAAAATGTTTTTCGTTTTCTCTCAGTTCAGGCTTTCCGAACCGCGCAATCCATTTTTCTCTGCCCAGGCTCATTCAATATATTTAAATTTTTTTTTGTTTGAAAGAGCACGTCAAGATGCAGTGCAGTACAGAGTCCTTTTTTTAAATTACGCTTGTTTTTTATTATATATACAGACATTTATGTAGCTAGACACTCATTTTTGGCACGTTTTTTGAATCATTGAACTTGTGATCCCCTTTTTCCGCTAAGAAAGTAAGAATTTTAAAAAAAGGACTCTGTACTGCACTGCATCCTGAGATGCTCTTTCAAACAAAAAAAAAATTAAATATATTGAAGGAGCCTGGACAAAGAAAAATGGATTGCCAAATGAGCTATTTTTGACCCTTGTTTGGTTCATATCTCTGTCAAACATTAGGGTATCGAGCTGAAAATTTTACCACAGCCTCCTCACTTCAGCCCCAACATATGCTCCAAGTTTCAGCTCATTTGAACTTTCCTGGGCTGAGATCGATTTTTGAGGGGGAGAAGGCCTTAAGTTAATAAATTGAAATTATAGTTATAAAACAAAATCGCTAAGTAAAAATTATTACTTCTAAGTAATTTCTAATAATGACCAAGTACGATTATCTAAGATAAGATGAATATTTTTATCGTGGTATGGCGTACGTATTTTCTCTTTTTCTTTCCTTTTGTCAGTATTGAAATAGCACCGTAACATATGTATGTTCCACCTATATTTTCTTTCGTTTTGATGTAATGTGTGCATGCGTGCACGTTTTCGAGGATGTTCTAGTACAATCATTTTTCTTTCTCTCCCTATTTCTTTATGATCTGTATTTTTTTTCGAGAGCTCTTTCCTATCTAGCACTTTCTAATGAGTTCTTGCTTCCTACTTGTTTATACACATATAGATATATATATATGCCATTGGAAGACTACTTTGAAATTATAAACCATGAAAAATTTTGTGATGACACAACGATATGAAAGCTCATCAGAATCGAACGACGAAATGGAGATCGACCATCAGGATTTTCAAGAAAAGAAAAAAGTTAGACGTAAACTTCACTGGATGAAAGACCGAAGTTTTTCAGATGATGCACAAACTCAAATGGCAATCAAAAAAGAAAAACAATGGAGTCGATACTATTGTAACAAAGGTCATGATGGAATTAAAGTTCATTATCGATGTAATCAAGTAAAATTTCGTGGCAAGCAATGTGATGCAGCAATATATCTGTATTATCCAAATGATAGTGATCCAAGTGGTATTATTTCGTACAATTAATGAGCATGACCATACCTATACGGATGGACGCAAAGCTTTTCCTGGAGAAGCAAAACAAACTATTGAAGAATTATTTGATTTGAGATTAAAACCGAAAAAAATATGTGAAGTGTTACAAAAACGAAATTTTAAGATTACATATAACCAGCTAAACAATTATTTAGTACAATTGCGTAAAAAGAAATTTTGTCGTTCAACTTTAAGCCTGGGACAATTAGAATCTATGTGTGCAGAAAGATCTACGGTACCACAATCTGAAGATGAGCCATTCATTCTTTCATATAACGTTCATTATGAAGACGATATAAATGATGAACAAGACGTAATAGATGATTGTGATAAATTTAGATTTTTATATCAACAAAAAGGTTATTGAAAATTGCTTCAACCTCAACACGATTACATGCTGGTGCCACCTATAAATTGAATTGGCATGATTTTCCAGTGCTAATAGTGGGAACAACTGAATACGATAGGAAGTTGCATTCATTTGGTTTGGCAGTTTGTAGTGATGAAAAACAACAAGACTTCGAATTTATCTTTAAAAGTATTTTAGATGGTGTTGAGAAGATAACAGAATGTACATTTAAACCTGAAGTTCTGATAGTTGATGGATCCGGTGCTATACGGAATGTATTTGCACAAATATTTAACAATGATAAAACTATGATGTGTTGGGCACATATGCGTCGAAATATGAATAAAAAGTTAAATACTATTAGGGATCATGATATAAGAAATGAAATATTAGATAACATCGACGAATTACAATTATGCGAATCAGAAAAATCTTTAGGAATGCATCAACCTTATATATGAAGAAGTGGAGCAAAAGAGAAAATGATTTTTCACAATTGCAAATGATATTGTTAATAAATGGTCCAAGTCTCGCAATCAGAATCAAATAGATCCGATTTTATTTTCAACAGAACCAACAATTTCACTTAAAAAATGGACTGCTGCATATCATTTCGCAAAATCTTCAAAATCAGTATTACAAATATCATCTAAAACAAAAGATTTCACCGATTACTATATACCAGCCGGTGAGGCAGAAAATATAACAAACAATTAAATACAGAAATACAAAAGGAAAAAATGGACGTCTTTCGACCAATTTAAAGATCTTCAAGTTGGAATATGGAAAGTAACTTTATCAGACAATGCATCACAATGAAAAAACGGACTTTGCAATTGTCTAAGTTTCTTCAAAGAATTTATTTGCAAACACGTTATTGGTATGGCGATTAGGTTGAAATTTTGCAAACCACCTTCATCAGCGAAAGATATACCATTGGGTGAAAAAAGAAAAAGAGGACGACCACGAAAAGCAACTAAAGCTTTATTAATACAATAACTATACAATTAAATTTTTTACTTAGATATTTATGTTTCTTTACTTAGCAAAAATTGTTTATTTATCTATCAATTTTTAATATTTCACTTAGAAAATCAAACGTATTTACTTAGAGTTTAAATAAAAAACTTAGCAAAAAACTTTTTTTTACTTAGAATTATTTTCAATAAATTACTTAGTAAACATCGAATTTTTTACTTAGCTTTTATTTAAAATTACTTAGCATTTAAATGGGAGCCATTAATATGTATATATATGCAGTAGTTGCAAAAAGTTCTGCTATTGTATAAAAAATCCATAAACTTCAATCCTTCCGCCTGATATTTTGACTACAAATAGAGCACAATAAACTCTGATTGCAATCAGCAATCTGAAGTCAATAAACTTTAATGCAAATGATTTACGATGAAAACACTGATTTCTTCTCTGCGGGCTCAAAGATAGCTTTTTGGATACTATTTGATTTTCCATCATTTAAATACATTAACCTCATTTTTTCTTATTAACAAACAAAGATTCACGTGTCTATTTTGTATCACAGATAGGGTACTCCAATCCACAGTAATCTTGAGGGACACGAAAGCTTCTATTGTCTGGGATGGTCTCAGCATGCATTTCTTCTCCATTGATGACTACGATCATGAAATTTTTGAGACAAATGATTAAAATTAGTCGGAGATATGGATCACTTTTCGATGATTCCCATCAACTCTCATGTGGAAATTACTCAAAGAATACTTCATAAATTAAGAATGAGATTTGTTTTCTATGTTGAAATATCTTCAGCTGAAGAAAAAAAATCTATGTTGATCTTCTAGCTTTTTCGGATGAAGGCTGATTAATCCTGGCGATTAGAGTTAGATACTTTTTACCTGATAGTGGAACCTTTTTGCAACTACTATACAAAGTGTGAAGGCAAAAAGTCTAGAAACACAGTATTTTTGACTTTTTTCCTGAAGTAGCAATAGCTAAAACAAATCAGAGAAAATATTTGAGTAGCTGAAACAATTTCTTATCACAAGAAGTATTTGTCAAAATCATATGAACAGATTTTCGGAGAAAAGTCTCTGAAAAACCAAGACTTTCAAAGCTATTTTTCTGAATTCTTTCAAACAAGATGTCCCCGAGCTCCTAATGATCTATCTTCAGCTCATTACATTCATTCTACAAAAGACCTCAAAATATACAACACCGTAAATTCATATACACTTTCATAAAAACAACAGAAAATAGCCTTTTAAGCCTATCTCACAATTATTGTCCTTCGCTGAAGATAGGTCGTGAAGAGTCTGTGGACATCAAAATGATTTCTCTATCAGATGAACTTATTTTCAAAACATTTTTGTTAGAATCCAGAAATCTAATTTTGAAGATCTTGGTTTTTGAAAAACCATTCTTCCAAATCTGTTCAAGGAAATTTGACAAGTATCTCTTCTGATAGGAAATTATTTCAACTAATCAAGTCTTTTCTTCGATTTGTTGTAGTTATTATCGTTGAGAAAACAAAGTCGAAAATACTTCATTTTTAAACTTTTTTGTTTCTATCTTTTATGTAGCGATATAATGAAGAAAAATTACGTCGTGAAAAATTAGAAGAAGAACTTCAAAAAGCTAATGATCAATTAGGTCAATTTCCAAATCAACGACCATCAACACAAATAGAACGTCCTGGTGAACCACCATTTCCAACTCGACCATCTCGACCAATACCAACAACAGATATATATTTACCTGAATATTGTCCAAGTCTTGTTGAACGATTAAAAGATAATCCAAAAGTTTTAACAAAATATCGTGATGAAGCACGAAGACAATTTGTTGAAGAACTTGAAGATTATGAAAATTTAGGAATTTCTGATGTAAGTAAAAGTAAATTCAAACTAAAGTTATATATTTCTATTTTATTTTAAGACTGATACTCGTCTTACGGATCTTGATTTTCGAACTAAAATGGAAAGTGTTTTACAAACACGACGTAATATTCAAAATGTAAGTTAATTAATAATTAATAATTATAATAATAAAAAAATTCTATAGGATTTACCTAATTTTGAACGTATTCGTGCTAATCTAACTCGAATATTAGATAAAAATATTAATGAACGATCTGATGTACGACGTAGTATTACATCTATACGTTCAACTGGTAGTAAATTAGTTACATTTGAAGACGAACATCAACGATCAAAATATGATAATATAAAAAAAAATTTAACTGATCAACGTGGTGCTGTAACAACAACAATTCAATCAAAACCAAAATATGATCATAGTCGTCCAACAATAAAAAATGAATCAGATGATGATATTACAATATCAAATGCAAATGAAAGTGATGATGATACACAACCAACACGACCAGGAATTACATCTGATATTCAACCACCACCAAGAAAACATGTTCCACCATCTAAAACACAAAATGGTATTAGTTCATTAGTTGCAGTAAGTATGAGACCAACAACAACTACAAATCAAACAACAACTATATCTGCTCGTCCTCGTCAACAAATAGTTAAACCAATATCAACAACAACAAACAAATCGAATTCAGATAGGTAAGGACAAGAAGAAATAAAAGTCAATATACTAAAAGTTATTATTGTTTTTCTTGTAAAGTGAAAGTGAAAATGCAGTACCATCTCCATCAACAGCTGGACCTTATTCAATGAATGTAACTGAAAAAAAACGTCTTATTGAACAAAAATTACATGAAGCTAGTAAGAAAGGAGAGAAACCAACTATTAATGCTATTGCACAAGGATTTCGACCGTCTCGAGAATCACTTGCTACTCAAGTAAAACAATAATTTTTCACTTTTTCTTATAAGATATTCGTTTTTTTTTCTTTCTTAAATCTAGCACGATGATGATGATAATGATCAAAGTGAATCATTTACAACTTTACATACAAATCCTGCACAAAAACCATTAAATGGTCATTTACCACAACTTTCGTATGTATTATTATTTTTGTTTTTAGTAGAATAAACTATTTTGTTCTTTAATTTGGTTTTGGAGTGTACACATGTAGTATTTTTCTTTTTACAAAAAACAAAAAACAAAAAACAAATTATTTCTTTTCTAGTCCATCTTCTGTAAGAACGCAAGCACGTATGCAATTAAAAAAAATAAAATAAACAAACAGATGCTACCTCTCTTTTTCTTTTGCACTATCTTTATTGAATGTGTCACCCTTCATAAACTTATTGCACAATCTTATTTTAAAGATATAAAGAGAAGAAAATCAATTATAAAAATGATTTCAGTTAGATATATGAAAATTTTATTGAAATTCATTTGTGATGATTCTTTTCTCTTTATTGTCTTAAACAAATAACTTATTGTAAAAACATCATTTTTAAGAATATTTCTATAATATATTATATGTATATGAAATAAAAATTTTCTTTATAGAGGCCGAGAATCAGTGAATAACAATCTTTTATCATCAGGTGATATTTCTCAACATACTTATGATTCGTAAGTAATAATTATTGATTAAGTTATTTTATTTTATACTTTTTTTTCATTTATTAGTTTATGGAAATCTCAAGCTGGTAAAGGTAAGTTTGAATTGTGTTTTTTTTTACAAAAAAAGAAAAATACGAAAGTGATATTTTTTTCTGCTTTATATAGGTGCTGAGTTACGACGACCACTAACAGCTGATTCGGCTAAAACTTCGATACTAGATTCTGATGATAATCAAGATGAAGGAGAGTCGAATTAATTTTTTTTTTTTTTAGTTTAATAACAGGCGATTGAAAAGTATTTTGAACAGATATTCGTTCATTTTTCAGACTCTTAAAGAAGCCTACAGAAACGTAAAACATTCAGTTAAAATCAAAGTTTGATGTTCCTTTCGAATATAGGTTCAAAATTTTTGTAGAACTACTGGCTTATAATTTATGAGTCGACTTTTTAGAGTCTTGCAAATTAATTTTGGATGAACTTCAGTACGTCAAAAATTACCACTCTGACAATGTTGATGTGTATTAGCCATAGAGTCCAAATCAGTTCGAATTATGAGATAAAATTTTATTAGTAAAATATATTCAGAAACTATTTTCTTCTCGATTAATTTGAATTCTTTCTAATAAATAATTCAACAAACGTGTGATATGAGTATCCCAAGTAGAAATAAAAATTATTTTGAAATAAAGAGAATGAAAGAGCAAATATTTCTCTATAAAAATACTATGCTACTGATCAAAGACTCGGTAATATAATGTAGGCAGTAAAGGAGATTATTGCTGCTAAAAACATCAATTTTCTTTATCTAAACTTAATTTTTTTGCATCACTAAAAGATCGACTCATAACTCCTAAACCAAACATTCTACACAAAATTTTGAACCTATATTTCGAAACAATACAAATTTTTTTTTCTAACCCAATGCTTCCGAATTTCTACAAGTTCCTTTAAAGAGATTGAAACATGAATGAACATTTTTGTCAATTCACTTTTTGATCACTCGTTTAAATGTTCTGTGTTTTCTATGTATTTCTCTACTTTTCTTTTTTATGTATATCTATATTTGTGTGTTTTTATCTATGGGTATATTTGTTAACACAGAGTTAAATATGTGTGTTTAGATTCGGTAGATTTTTATAGAAGAATTGTTTTTTGTTTTCAATAATATCGATAAATAATTATTTGTTTGAAAATAAATATTGTTTTTCTTTTCTTTGAATTTATAATAAGAAAAGAAAATTTTCAACGTATATTTATTGAAAATATTTTTTGTTTAATTGATTAGATAAATGGCATTAGAATATTATTTGGAAATCAAAACTCCTAATTCAAAAGTAACTGTGATTGGAAGTAATCCAGTAAGACGTGAATTAGTACTCGGTTTTGAAGATGGATCTGTACAAACATTTGATCATGAATCAGGTCAAATTTTTTTTTCTTTTTTTTTTTTTTTTTGTTAAAAACTATATTTATTTTTTAGGTGAACTTATTCAACATTGTTATAAGCATAGAGGATGGGTTACTGCGATATGTGCACTTCCTGAAGCTCGAGCTTTTTTTTCAAGTGGCAATGATTCAACAGTTGTTACATATAATGGTTAATTTTACAGTCAAAATTTGTTTTCTTATTTAGAAATTTTGATTAATTATTATTTGTTTTCTTTCTTTCTAGCAATTGGTGCTGTTGTTGATAAACTAAATATCGGTTCTGTAGCTTATTCAATTTGTTTTCATTCTCGTTTAAAACAAGTTATTTTTGGTATACCCGAAGGTAAATTTCTATTAAGATAATTATTTATTGAATAAAAATTTTTTTAAAAAAACAAGGTATTCAATTTCATACATATGAATTAAATAATGTAAGTGGTCAAATTATTCATAGTGTACCATTGTATATAATATGTGAACATGAAGATATAACAACAGGTGTATTAATGCTTGATAAATTATATTCAGTTGGTTTTGATGGAAAATTAATTATATATGATTGTCCATTTGGTAGTTCACCATCAGTTGCAAAAAAATTAGATCATGCACATGATGCTGGAATAACATGTTTAATAGCACAAAAAAATGCTTTAGATAATAATGAATGGTTAATGACAGGTTCATTTGATAAAACAGCAAAAGTATGGAGTCTTGATGGAAAACTTATTTTTAAATTTATTGATTTTACACAACCAGTAACAGGGTTAACTTATGTTCATGCAACGAAAACTGTTTGGATTGGTAAGAAGTATATACTTTCTGTTCTCTTTTTGGAATATTTATATGTAGATTAAAAATCTTACGGGAGAATCTTCCCATGTAATTAATCGCTTTTGAATGTAGACTCGCTGCATAAGAGAGATCTCGTTGAGGTATTAAATATTCGACTCAGTAGCAATCTCTTCATTAACTCTCAAATACGAGAAATATAATTCTCTTCAGTATAGAGTTCATGTTCTCTGTGTCTAGCACTTTAGCAAATTGTATCGGTCTCTTTGCATGAGAAGTCTACTAGTTCAACTATTGCTTATGGTTCCAATCAAAAAAAAAAAAAAAGTCAATTTCTATTGATTTATGTTCTAATTCGCTAATTGAAATGGCAATTAACTTTGGAAAACTTGATTGAAAACCAAATATTGAAGTTTTATAATTCAAAGGATGCAAAATCGATCCAACCAAGATTATAAATTACTAACTACAGTACAAATCAAGGAATTGACATAGAATTCGATTGAAAATAGAAGTTAGTTTATTCTTTTTTTTTTCTAATATGTGCATCTTTCTCCAAGAAGAAAAGCATTTCTTTTTATACTACCCAAGTCCTTATTTGTATTGTAGATCGGCTTTGAAGATTCCAAATTTCTCTAAGTTGACAGATTTAACATATAGACACACGAAAATCTAAGTGAAATTTTATATAGAATATAGATACATTTTACTTATGAAAATGAAGGAATTGTCTTTTTTTCTCGATATGAATCGAATTGAAATTTTCTTATTCATTTCGGCTTCTGCTCTTTACAGAGTTATAGTCGTGTTACTGAAATTTTAGCCTGTAGCATGTACTTACAAAAGAATCAAAAGATGATATTTGAGCGTGAAATTATTAACTCAAAAGAATATTCTCTTCATGCGATATTGACTTTCATTTCAAATTCAAATATATTGTCTTCCGATTCTTTTGTATTAGTCGTGTTCCAGACTAAAATTACAGTAAAATAGCTATAACTCTGTAAGGAAGACCTATGAGTACTTATCCTATTGGAATTTTGAATATCTCATTAGTATCTATCTTATGCAGTAAGTTCGAACTCAAAAGTAATTAATCATATCGAAACATTTCCTTGTTAATATTAATAATTATCTCGAAATTTGTTTGTATATATTAGCTGCTGGTAATAGTTTTGCTCATGTATATGATCCAAAAAATGGTGAAAATGTATCAAGTTTTATTGGTAAAGTATTTATAGTTTTAAGAATAAAATTTAATTTATTTGTCTTTTTTTTCTAAAAGATACGTTTCTCAATGTTGAAGATAGTGAACTTCGTTATAGTTATTTTCTTATTCTTCTTCGATATATACCAGAATTAAATATTCTTATAGCTTCAACGAATATTAAACAATGTCTTGGATGGCGTTATAATAATACGTAAGTATAATCATATTTTCTTTTTAATTGTTTGATTAGATAGGCTTTTTATCTTAGTGGTTGTATATCATGTTTGAAAGTAAAATCACCATTAGAAAGTGTTTGTTACACGAAAAAATCACCAATATTGGTAAGAAAAAAAATATATATCTATATAATTTGCATGTTAATTATAATATTTTTATGCTTATTATAATTATCTAATTAGATGTTTACAGGAGATTCAGAAGGTGAGCTTAGATATCTAAAAACAAATATTTTATGTGTTTGTTATTTTTTTTTTGTTAACCACTAAATAAATAACATAACATAAATTATAAAATTGACTTATTTGTTTCTTTTTTTTCTTTTCTTTTATTTTTTTCTTTTATTGAAATAGGTAATGTATACAAATGGGAACAAATGCAATCGAATCAAATAATGTATTCAAGTGAACGTTTACTAAAATTTGAGGGTAAAAAAAATTTAAGTGATGTCATGGTACAAGCTATATCATTGGGAGATACAAAAACTACTGCTAATACTAATCAGAAAAAAAATAATAATAATAAAGAATCAACCGCAAATCAAAAACGAATATCATCGGCTAATCGTATTAAAACAGTTGAAGAACGTTTACCAGCATATTATGTACGTTCACGTTCTGCAGCTAAATTACGTGAAAAAGAACGTGGTATTGGTGGTTATGTATCACAATATGCTCATTTACAGAAAAAAACTGATACAAATACATTAAGCAACATAACAAAAACAGCAACAGGAAAATCAATTCTTCGAATATTATTTGTTGAAAAATTTGATTTAATTATAGCAGCTAGTGAAGATAAAAATATTTATGTTTGGGGATTTGATTTAGAAGCATTAAAAGCATTAACTACATTACGTGATCAATCAAATGAGCTTAATCAACTTCAAGAAGGTATTTATATCTTTGATATTTCCTAGACTGAAAGGATAGAGTCTAGAAACGAAAATTCATCTGTATCTATCTATCTGTAGTTTAGTCATCATATGATAATTATGGTACGAATGAATACGTAGGGTGACAAAAAAAAAGGCACTCATGCATTATGATTCAAATTAATCGAGGAATAATATTCCAAGACGAAAAATATGAAATTCGTATGCACTTTGAAACGATCCTATATACTCGGTATTTCACGACCGTATTTTAGTTTATTACATAGTTCAGTATTACGTCAATATATGACGATTTACGATCATTTACAAATGTGTTTGTTCGATCTGGAACGTTTTTAGAAATGAAGATTATTGTTATTAAGCTATTGAACGGTTTGATCGATTGTTCAATAGTGTGTATATGAAGATATAATGTAATAATTATTAAGAGTTAGAGAGTCAGTCTGAACATAAGATTATAACAAACTAATATCATATTATTTGAATAATGTGATATTAACTTTTTTTTTGCAATAGAAACAACGCTAATATTATTAATTGTAAATGACTGTATTGATTTTTATGTTATCTTTATAAATCAATATATATATAAAACATTAGTTTTATTCCAAATATGAAGAAGACACAATAATATGAAAAATGAAAAAAATAGATCGTTCTTAATTTCAAGTTTTGTTATTTGAAATATTGAAATTTCAAGCATAAAATCTCTAAAATCACAATCTTACTATTTGTGATCGCATATCATCGATAGAATTTCAGAATTCGACATAAATCAATGTGTGTTAAAGAGAATTTTTCATTCATTATATTTAATTATGATTTGAAATTGAAATTAAAGTTTTAAGAACAATATGAAAGAACAAAAGCGAGTATAGTTACAACAGTACAACGATCGAAAAATTTGACAAAAATTTCTATAGAAAAACTAACATTGCCCATATAAACTAAACTTAAATAGACAAATGTAGCATATTCAAAATCGGTTTTTCTTTATAAACATACAAATCAAGTTTTATATTATGAAACGAATCATTGTTATATTATCAAATCACCTCTTGTATTTATCTAATGCATTATTTAATGTACATCTGTCAGTCAGTCTAGAACCAAGTGAATTGAATCTCGATGAACGTTATTTTTTTCATTCAGAAAAAAATATTATATTATGTTTTCTTTTAATTTGGTTTTCTTTTATATAGAAGGTGCTGAAGTTGCAAATCGTGTTGTTGGTTTTACATTACGTAAAATATTTAGTGAACACGAAAGTCTTGTTACTTCATTAGCACTTGTTGATGACGTTGAATCATTTGGTGGTGTTTATTTACTTAGTTCTGGATGGGATCGACATATATATATTTGGGATTTAACTCATTTTACTCTTTTTTCAAGCTATACTAATCCAAAAGCAGAACATATTGAAGATGGAATAACGGCAGCATCTGGAAATATTCATGATATGGATTATAGTCCAACATTGAAATATTTTGCTTATGCTTCAAGTGATATGTGTGTTTATGTTCGAAAATTTTCACCAAGAGGTTCTGAAATGGATCTTATGTATAAACTTCAAGCAAAAATTGATTCAGAAATTACTTGTGTTAAATGGAATTATATAACAAATCAATGGGTTACTGGAATGGAAAATGGAGAAATTCGAATATGGGTGATTAACATATCATTTTCCTTTTCTTTTTTTTTTACTAAATAATAATATTGAAATTATTTTTGTTTAGGAAACAAACGGTGAATTTAAACAAGCAATTAATGTTCGAGGAAGTATACATACAATTGCTATTGATGATGTTCAAAAAGCACTTTTAATTGGTACTCAAGATACATTAAAAGTGTTTGATATGGAAGAATATACATGTGTACAAACTAATGAAGGACATACAGATGTTATTCGGTATAGAAGTTTAAGCATAGAAATAAATTTTATTGTTTAGATTTGTTTCTTTTCAAAGAAATATTTTGTTTATTCCGGAAAGAAATCAATATATCACTGTTTCACTTGATCGTACCATGCGTATATGGAATGCTTGGTCACCTGAACCATTTCGAAAAAAAGTCGCTGATATTGATCCGAAAATAAAATTTTCAGAAGATCTTTGGGAACAAATTCGTAATTGTGTAAAAAATTCAATTGAAGTTGAAGATGCAAATAGTATTGTTGATAAATATTTTCAAAAACAATATGAACAAAAACGTTTATCATTGACCGATGATCCTCAACAATCACGACAAGTGTCTTTTCTTAATCCATGAACAATTTTTTTCTTTTTCTTATCTTTTGATTTCAATAAATCTCAGGAGGACGTCCGTTTTGTCTTTTCACTAGTATTTCTATTGTGCATTGCACTTTAAAAAAAGAAAATCATTTTTATAGATAAAACATGTCTCAAGCACATTATGAAGCTAATCGTTTGTCATCTGAACGTCCATATACAATGAGCAGTTCAAGAAAATGTTTATTACCTTTCCGAATGAGACGACCACAAACAGCACCTGATATTAAAATTTCACATCGATTTTCTCATCCGAATGAAGATATTGTTCGACAAATTACTCATGAACATGTTCTTGGTAAGGAGAAAAAATATGAATATTTTATTTTTATATAACTAACTTGATTGAATAATATAAATTAAAAAAAAAACAAAACATTCAATAATTTTAGTAAAAGAAATAAATTATTTTAAGGTAAGATTGTTGTCTAGAAATATGTTTTCTTTTAAAGAATAAATGACACTTTTGCTAATTAAATATGATTTTGCACTTTATGATCACATTATTCGATGTTTAAATCAATTAATCATGATATCATATGTATATATAAACATTTTTTCTTGCTCTATTATTCTACAGCGATTGGTGATCGTTTATTAACACAAATACAACGTAATAACGAAAATCGAATTCAACAAACTTATCAACAATTAATTGAAGCTGAACGAATACGAATGGAAAATGAACATCGAAAAAAATCCGATGAAATAACACAAAAATGGCAAGCAGAATTAGAAGAAGAAAAAGTTAAATTACAAAAAGAACTTGATGAAGGTTTTATTAATATGGAACGTACACGTCGAGAAAGAAATCAAGTGGAAGAACAAGCATTAATACGACGAATGAAAGATGAATGTGATCAAGCATTAGCAAGACAATGGAAACATGCTAATGAACAACTTTCTCTAGTAATAGAAGAAATAGATTATTTTCTAATAAATTTCTATCATTCATTTAGGCAGTTAAACAAGGAGAAGATCGATTACGTGTATTGCTCGAATTGAAATATTTAGAAGAAAAAGAACAATTTGCTCAAGAATTAATTGCCAAAAAAGATGTAAGAAAATTTTATGTTTATTGTAGAATTAGAATAATAATAATTTTTCAATAGGGTGAATATGCTGAACAAGAATTGAAAGCTGTAGAAAAAGTAAAAGTTGAATTAACAAAAGAACATAATCAAGATATTAAAATAATCAAGGAACGACATTCACAAGAAATAGCTGAATTGAAAAATAAGTAAGAATATTTATTCTATAATTGAATCAATTTTAATTTATGTTTTTAGATTAAAATTAACTGAAGAACGTTTTCGTCGAGAATTTTCATTACGTTCTCGACTTGAAAGTGATTTTCGAGTTTGTATTCATATAACATGATTTCTCATCTGTTTATATATATATATATATATATATATACGCGTTTTTTTTATAGTTGCTTCAAACTGATTATAAACGTTTTATGGATAATAGCAATGTATTTCATTCTGATTATATGCTTAAATTGTGTCATATTGGAGAACAAATTGGAGATGCTAAATTTGAACAAGTACTTGATCGAATATTAGCCGAATCAAATATTCAACATATTCCATCACAATCAGTTAAAACTCAAATTCATAAATCTAAACATTCTTTAAAATTACATGATAAATAAAAACTATTATCATTAAACCGTATTTTTATAATTTTTTTTTGTACGTTTTGTGTGTTATGTTAATAATCTCATGATTCTAACATCAGTTGATTGTGCTTATTATCTATAATGTCTTCTTCCATATTTTGTAGATATTCATTCAAAAAGTTGTTTTGTTTTTCGTATTTGTTTTATCAATACATCATAATCTAATTTATAAATAATTCAAACAGATGAATTATATGATTTCCAATGATCGTTGTTTATATTTCTCTGATGCACGTAGTGCTTAGTTTGCTCATTTTGCTGAAAATCAAAAAGGCAATAATAATATATTCGAATTTCTAGAACATTTTTGCAAGTCGAATGGTAATTCACAGAGCTTATCAGATGCTATCATAAATAATTATTTATGATATATAGAAAATCAAGTAAAATAACATATGAATTCAGAAAATTCCGTGTCATGGGAGATGATTTTAAAAACACACCTATGATAAATTTTCGATTCAATTTCTTGTTTTTCCTGTTATAATTAATTCAACATGGATACAGTTTAGATAATTGATTTCCAATATTTTCATGCCATTAAATACTGACTCCATTTTTGTCAACAAATTAAAGAAATAATAAATACAATCTGAAAGCTAGAATCAATCATAGAAAGACTTACAATGCGGAATAATCTAATTGAAATGTCTGTACACAGAAGAAAGAGTATTATAAAGTGTATAACTTAAATAAGCTGGTGATCGATTAGAATCTATCCTTGATGAAGACATAGGAAAAAAAACATATTCTAGATTGTGAACTTCAATTTATTGCAGTAGTTTAACAGCATGAAACTTAATTTCAATATTAAGACAGAAATGTTAATAATATGAAAATCTATTATAATCATAAGTTAAAGAACGACATTAATGGATTCTAAGGAGATGAGATTATTAAAATATAATACGAAAACAGAAAAAAAGTTGAACTTTATTGGTTTCTTCTACATAGAATCAGCGACATTGTTCTTTGAGTAGTGGAAAGTCAAAATGGGTATACAAACGACGTCTAGACCTACTTTCAATGTCATTCAACTCACCTTTTGATAACTGGAGTTCATATAAAGTACCATGGGAGAGATACTCTAAAGTAACTTTCGCTGGAAAGTCAATTTTGAGAGAGCAATTTTCTAAAGGCCACATGACTGTTATTTATTGGCACAACGCAAACCAACTACCCCAAAAAATAATGTATACTTCGTTCAAAACTTTCGAAAACTAAACTTCACATTTTTCAGATGATTATAGGAGCTTCACGGCTCTCTGAGGAAAAAGTCCAAAACAAAATAGCTGACAACATTCATATTCAAAAACTACCCATGTTATGTAACATTTAATAAGTTTATCGAATTGCGACCTTTGCTTCAAAATGAGCAAATATTGTGAAGATTTCTTTTCTGAAATAGTTCGCTATTTTGTGATGAGATTCTTTCTGGGTGGATAAAATGATTGTTTGTGGAGAGATAGTGATCAAAAAACAATTTCGCGTTTTGTGCATATTTCAGCGAGGTAAGGCGTGTATAGTCCTCAAGTTTCTGGAGCTCTAATGTCGAAAGTTCAACTGTCGGGGACTCAATAGTCGTAAGGGTCGTCTCTCAGAGATTCATCTGTTGGAAGCCCATTTGTCGATGAACCGATTCAAATATCCCATCCGTATCGTTTGATTAGGATATCAGCTCGAAGACAATGGAACATTGATGATTGCTATTAATTGATGTTTGTTATTGCGTGTGAAGTTAATTGATTTTTGAATGCGTACTAAAATGGTAGTTGCAGAAACAAAGCTGTCTGCATAGATTACTATGTTCTTATCAGGAAAATTTACGTATGAAGGCTATTTGTACAATAAGGCTTTCTATAGGATTAGAGGAAAGGATGGATATGTCCATGGTTCGACATGTTTCTGTTCGAGACGTCAGCATTTTTGAAACATATTCACAGTTCTATTGGACATGTCAATACTATGATGATCTTTTAAATCATATAATAAGATTGTTCGAACGCAGGTTGATCAATGGCTAGGATACATCGGTGACTGAGATCTATATGGCAGCAAGGAAGACTATCTTTAGCTTCTGAACACATCCAAGGAGATATATTTTATTTACCAAACATTTGCGTCCAAGATAGGCAATCATCACAGTTTTCTGTACTTCAAACGCATTGTATGATTTATTAGTATCAAATAAATCGATCCCTTTGAATATTAGTTCACAGACGACTATGTTTTGTTCGAAAAAGAAAAGAAAATTGACACGTTTCTATTGGTGTAACTCTGATTAACAAATAAATTAGCATCCATGCTTGTCTTTAGTTTTTTCAATATTACTTTGCTGAGATGTTTTTATGCTCACTTTTTCGTCGTATTGCTCACTCGAAACGTCAGTATCAACGCATCCAAAAGACAATACCAGCAGCATGATCATATTTCATCAACATTCACTTATCTCATCTGACTATATGTCAAAAAAATCTCAGCCTTGCCAATCAAGGCTGCAATCGCACCTTCACAAGAGGTTAATATCGACGTCCATCACAATCAAAATCCAGAAAGACAACTAATGAAATATATTAGTTCCACTAAAGATAGCTGTCAAGTAACCAATGGCGTGCCAAAAAATTTCACACAATTTTCAATGTCATTGACAATTATATTGAACTTCATAAGTCATCATACATATTTCATATCTACATTTGCAGACACGAACTCTTTTGTCTAAGTATATTTTTTCCACAAATCACGCTATCCAAAGGTAATTGCATCCAATTCGAAAGATGTTTTCTCACCAAAACAAAGAACCATTCAACTGCAAAGTAGCGAAATGCTTTACTTTCCAATCAGAGCAATCAATGGGAAATTTTCGGCAGTTTTCGATAGAGATTTTGGTCTTCCAAGCACCATAAATCCCTTAACGTCGAGACTCTGCCTCCTTAAACCTCACAGCGAGGGGCTTCACCGTTAGACCTCCACTTTCAGTTAGATTTTCTCCCCTTCTTAGTGTATCACTCAGCCTTATCATTATCTTTGTCTTCGACTATCTCTATACCAACATTGACACCAGCCTCAGTATACTGTCCTCGAACTTCACTTCTCGATTTTTCACAATACATTCTATCACAAGTTTTTGATACTTTTATTTATCTGCATTTAACTTTTGAGATTATCTTTACACAAACAATAATTCGATATATCTCTTTTGCTCAATGCGGAGCAAATGTTGCAACCAGGTCAGTTGATTGAAGGTAGCATAGCAAAGGAACATTATTTAAAAGACTTTTATTCACCTCTTTTGCTCACTTTGAAAGAAAGATTAAGGCTCAATCATCAGATCGAAAGTCACATGGCAAAAGAACATTCATAACGAAACTTCTGTTCACCTTTTTTGCTCACTTCCAAGCAAAGGATGGAACTCTGTCACTTTATCGAAGATCACATGATAAATGAACATAACTCATCAGTTTTATGTTCATCAATACTACTGCTTCGAAGCAATGGTTACCATTTGGTCAGTTGATCCAAGATCACATGGCAAAAGGACATTCCTGACTATACTTCTATTCTTCTCTTTTGCATACTTCGCAGCAATGGTTGTGACTTTATCATCTGATCAAAGATCACAAGGCAAAGAAACATTCATCAACATACTTCCGTTCACCCCTTTTCACTCACTTTTAAGCAAAGGCTGCAGCTCGATCATCTGTTAGAATGTTACTAGGAAAAAGAACATTCATAACCAAACTTCAATTCACCTTTTTTTGCTCACTTCGAAACAAAGGCTACGACTTAATCGTCAGGTCGATAGTTACAGACCAAAGGACCATTAATAACCAAACTTCCACTCACCCCTTCTCCTCACATCGAAGCAAAATCTGCCACACGGTCAGCTGATCCAAGACCACATGGCGAAAGGACATTCCTGACTATACTTCTATTCTCCTCTTTTGCTCACTTGTAAGCTAAGGTTGTGACTTGGTCACTCGATCGAAAGCTACATGGCAAAGAAGCACTCATAAAGACACTTCTATTCACCACTTTTGCTTACTTCGGCTCAAAGGCTACGACTTGGTCATCTAATTCAAGACCACATCGCAAAGAAACATTAACCATAAAACTTCTGTTCGCCTCTTCCGTTTACTTCGTAGTAGAGACTGGGAATTCATCCCCTGATCGGAGCTTACAGAACAAAGGAACCCTCATAATGATGCTTCTGTTCACCACTTTTGCTCACCTGAAGCAGAGGTTGCGACTTGTTCACTTGATAGAAAGTCATAGAGCAAAGGACCATTCATAACCAAACTATCGTTCATATATTCTGTTCATTTCGAAGGAAAGGTTACGACTCGGTCACCCGATCGAAGCTCATAGGGCAACAGAATATGCATCAAAATACTTGTGTCCAATCCATTTGCTCACTTCGGAGCAAAGATTGCGACTGGGTCACCTGATTGAAAGTCAAGTCGGAAACGAACATTCATAACCAATCTTATGTTCACCTCGTATGCTCACATCGAAGCAAAGATTGAGGCTCGGTCATTTGTTCGAAAGTCATAGAGCAAACGACCATCCATAAGCAAACTTCTGTTCATCTCTTACCTCACTTTAAAGCACAGGTTGCGACTCGATCATATGTGCAAATGTCAACCAGGGAAAGGCACATTGATAAGTTAATTCTGTTCATTCATCTTACTCACTTTGAAGTATAAGTTAGGACTTTGTCACCTGATTGAAGATCATATGACACAGAAACCTTCATAAAAATACTACTATTCATCTCTTCTGCTCGCTTCGAAGCAAAAGCTTCTGTTTCATCGCCTGATCGAAGATCACAGGGTACAGGAGCGTTCATAATCAAACTTCTATTCTCCTCTTATGGTCTCATCGACGTAAAGATTGCTACTGGGTTACTCGATCGCAGATCATGTGGCAAAGGATGTTTAACAAATACATTTCGCACCAACGATTCATTCATC